AGATTAGACAATGCAGAATAAAGAATTAGTGAATTTGAAGACATGTCAATAAAAACTTTTCAAAATGAAACACAGAGAGAAAAATTACTGAAAGAAAATTAACAGCACATCAGTGAGCTGTGGGACAATCTCAGGCAGCCTACTATACATGTAACTGTAGTCCCCAGAGGAAAGGAAAGAGAATAGGGAACAGAACAAATATTTGAAGAAATAATGGCTGAAATTTTTCCAAATTTGTTGCAAAACGTGAACATACAGATCCAAGAAACTCACTAAGTCCTAATAAAAAGGAACATAAAGAAACCATACCAAAGCATATCATAATCAAATCAGGGAGCCCATCTCAATGGCAGCATCCCCAACAGTAATACGTGGCCTTCAAATGAGAGTGTTTAAAGCACTCTGTGCTTCAAACCACAGAGTGTCTCAAGAATGCAGATATTTCCTTCACTAATGTATTTCTCAATGGCTTAATGAAGGGAATGCATTCTGGGTCTCCTAGTGGAACACAAGTATGGGGATGGGCATGTAAATTGCACGTAATAAATCCAGTCCGACATTATTATCTCCCTAAGCCTATGGATTCCCTCTCCATATCATGCCAGGGAAGCTCTGGCATGTCATCTCATTAAATGTAGGCCACCACTGAGTCCAAGTTTTAGTCAATCAACCAAGAAAGATGTTAGAGCCACCTCCAGCTGCACGAGTTGACACATTAAATCCAGAATCTCTAGGCAGTACACCCGTGTCAATGAGTTCAACCCAATCTACTGTTACATCTTCTTTGTACAGAAGCCCTTAGAATGCACCCCTACAGATGTTCCCCAGGTTTCTACTGATATGTGTTATTAGCAAGGTCTTGAAATTGTTTGGGAGTGTAAGTTATTTCCTTCTAGATCATAGTGTGTACCCCTCCTCCCAGAACATGCTGAGATTTGACCCAATCCACGGGTCCAGTGGTAAGTAGGAGAGATTTTGGTAAGTCCTATGGAGAATGGACATCCCCTTTCAAGGCATCTGCCCCAGGTGAGGTTATCACACAGTTTTCCCAGCAAAGGACGTGTGACAATGGGCTAAACGCTCGTGGAATTACGTGGTCTTACGACAGACTCATTTTTTAAATATGGCTGGACTGTTTGAAAGCTGGAGTGGCTTACTGAAGACTCAGCTACCGTGGCAATTGAGAGACAATAGCCTAAAAAGATGGAGTTCCGTCTTACCAGGTGCAGTATATGCTTTGAATCAGAGAACACTACATCTCCTCCACAGCCAACATGCATAGATCGAGAAATTAAGGAACAGAAGTAAAGGAGCAATCTGTCCTGAAAAGGGAATTCAAAATTGTATCTCTGGTGAAACAGAAATTTGCCAACAATTTAAAAATAGCTATTTCCAGTCCCTAGTCCTGCTTTCTCCCCATTACTACTAAGCAACAGGGCTCCAGAAAAATATTGAAATCCAATTTTAGCTGCCTAAAAATGTGGGGATCTTTATACATGTTCAATAGTATATTATAAAATGATAACCTTACAATAAAAGAAATGAGCAAAGATTCCCAGTAGAGTGTCTGGCAGCAAAACAAAAAATAGGAGAGCCAGAAACAAAATATTATATGGTGTCCCCAATATGTTTTCCTGATTCCATGATAAGCTCTCTAGTTCACCCTCCTATTTGATCTAATAATCAAACAGAGAAACAGTCCCCTAATGTTACAGGCAGACAAATTACCCTTAGAGTTTAGGGCACTATTCCAAAGATACGTTGTGAGAAAACAATAGGAAAGTATTCCTGCATGCAGCCATTCCTTCAGCTTGCGGCACTCTGCCACTAAGTGGTGTGAGGACACACTGTTGAGGTTAAAAGTTAAAGGTCAAGTTGATGTTATTACTGTCTTAGTCCTTTAATTGACTTAAAAGTATTAGTTGAGATGGATGCAGTTCATGAAAATAATTATGGTTACTTTATTAGTATGACTGAATAAATGTTTTTTCAGAATGACACACTGAAAGTATGTCATATTGCCCTAAAATTACTTACTCAATTTCTGGCCAGAGAGGGTTTCTTTATAAAAATTCTCTGCTAAACTTCTCATTAATGTGGGCCCTGATCAATATGGCCTCCAGAAAAGCAAACCTAGGATTTGGAAAAGTATCTGAGTCCCTGTGAGTAATATCTGAGCTTACCCAAAAGGTTGATTTTCAGCTTGCTTCTTCTCTGCTGAATTCTAGAAAGCTCTAGAAGGGTTTGATGACCATGCAAATCTTCAAAGAATACCACTCAAGCGTAAAAATGGCTATCATATGTTTAGAATTAATTGGAAGAATATTTTCTTTAGGATCTAATTCTTATTTACAAGTCACTTTTAGGAACTCAAAATTAGGCAACAATATGCAACAACATGACTAACTCTGACTTCAGATGGGAAACCATCCATTTATTTTGATAGGCGGTAAACAAGTTCTAGGACAATATGTGATAGAATAAATTAATCACAAATCACTTAGCAAGAAAAGAAGAGCTCAGAGAAAATTAGAACCACGCTTTAAAAAAAAGGTATGTTTAGGGAATAGTCATGTCTCCTAACCAGAACTACAGTAAATAAAGATATAGCCAAAACTATGGTCAACTATGAAGAAAAGCTTTTCTCCAAAGGAGAGAGAATTTATTCTCTCTCCAATCATATGAGCATAGTGTGTGTGGTGTGTTGGCAGGAAATCTTCTGCTCTCCTGAGGTTCACAGTATGTACCTAAGTTTGACAAGCAGTTAAAAGGAGAAAACCAAATAGATTTAGATCTAAACTTTAAAAAGAGGTTTATACAAACAGGCATTCTTGCACTGAGCTGGGACTATATATGAGTAAAACCAATCTGTAGGACAATTTAGCATATACATCAAGGACCCTAAAAATGTACGTGTTCTTTGAATAGGATATTTCACTTTAGCCTAAGAAAATAATCAAATTTTTTTACAACAATGATCTTCATAGCAAAAAAAAAAAAAAAAGGAAATAATTCAAATGCCCAAGAAAACTATTAAAGTGGGTTTTTTTCCAAAATTATTAATGCTTAATACATTAACTAGAAAAAAAAAAAAACCCAGATCACAAACCATGTGCCCATTATTTTCTATTTTGTAACTTTGCGTGTGTGTTTGCATGTGCATATGAAAAAAATATGAAAGGACTAAGAATAATTTCTCTAGAGTCTTTCTTTTTGTATTTTCAAATTTTTCTCTAATTTAAAAAAAAAGTTCTTTCTTAAAATTAAAAGACTTTAAAAGTAGCCCACTACATCAAAGAGTATTATGAAGTTACGATTAAATAAGGTGTTTGAAAATAAGGCACCAGTGCAGTGCTGTTCACAGAGCATACTCTTCTAAAATACCCTCCTCGGGCCGGCCCCATGGCTTAGCAGTTAAGTGTGCGCGCTCTGCCACTGGCGGCCCGGGTTCAGATCCCGGGAGCGTACCAATGCACCGCTTCTCCGGCCATGCTGAGGCTGTGTCCCACATACAGCAACTAGAAGGGTGTGCAACTATGACATACAACTATCTACTGGGGCTTTGGGGGGAAAATAAATAAATAAATAAAATTTAAAAATATAAATAAATAAAATACCCTCCTCCATCTTCTGTAATAGCTGCCTGCCTTTCAGTGGGCCTATAGCCTCAAAAAAGTCATGAAATTGTGCCAATATGTGTTCCACCATCCCTTAATTATTTGTGCCAACTGATAGGAGCTGAAATATGGAAAACATCAAAAAGATAATGCTAAATTAATTTGTACTTGGACTTGGAATATGACCAGACACATGTGCTTAGGCATGAATGTATTTACCCCCTACTAAACCTCAGACCTTGTCCTCATCACTTCTTGGCCTGATTCCTACTTGCAGCACTGGAGAGGTCTCTAGGAATCAAAAAAAATCTGAGAAAAGATTGTTTGGTGACAGAGATTTGGCTCTGAATTGTGGATATTTATATGTATAAATGCAAAAACACCCATATATAATCGTCCACATGTGTATATTCCACTTACAGTAGTTAATTTTCCATAGTTTTTTGATTAAAAGAGGAATTTGATTTGTGTAGAATCCTCCAGATTTAGTGAGTGGTAACTGGGGTAATTGAAAGAAAAGACGTCTTGGCAGGAGCAGCTACATAATTTAAGGGCCTCTACAAAATAAAAATGTGGGGCCCCTTGTTCTAAAATGGTTAAGAATTTCAAGATGGCGACAGCAGAGCACTGAACCAAGAGCAGGACCCTTCTAAGCACGAAGGCTGGTGTGAATGCACTGGTCACATGCACGTGAAGCTAGGCCTGAGTCTTGGAGTCAGGTAGATATGAGATCAAATTCTAGGTTTTTCATATACAAGCTGGGCATTTAAGTTATTTAAACTTTTAAAGCTTCAGTTTTCTCATTTGTAAAATTGGAATAATGATTGTATGATATCATTCTCAAGATTGTTGTGGTGATTAAGAGAGAGCATTACACTAAATGCATAGCCTCGTGCCTGGCTTGTAGAGACTCTGTCTTCTCTATCCTGTATACTGCAGTTAGAGTTCCTATTTTAAAATATAAGTTTGAGGATCTCTCCCCAACTTAAAACTATTTTTGGTTACCCATTGTCTATACAACAAAATGAAAATGCATATTATGGCATATGAAAACCTTTGCTATTCAGGTTTTATCCACTTCTCTAGACTTACCATCTACCACTTTCCCACAAGTATCAAGGTCTAAAATATAATTTCTGGTTTTTTCACTTTTCCTTAAGGGTCAATAATTATAACAGACTTAGGTGTCTTATGTTAAAAACAAGACAACAGGCCCCAAATAGAATCATTTATGCTAAGTCCCATGTCACCAAACTAAGATTTAATTACAGTTCCAGCTCTCCCAGCAATGGAATCTTAAACCAGTCAATCAGGACTCGCCTGATCAGCACTAGTTAGGTCATCTGCCTGACAGACCCCTGCTATCCCCTAAGGGAAAGTGACCTTGCAATAACCAACCTACTTTTTTGCCTAGTGTAACTTCCTTCTGCCTGCTCACTTCTGCCTATAAAAGTCTTTGACTCTATACAGATCTTCGAGCTCCTTTCTATCTGCTAGATTGGATGCTGCCCAACTGGAATTGATTTTTGCTCAAACTCTGAAAATTTTTAATATGCCTCAGTTTATCTTTTAACACATATAATAAATATTTCTTTGTGTCAGACACTGTGCTATACAGTCTGTTGGAGGGAACACTTATTCTCCACTCCTGATGTTTCCTCCCATGAGCAGGGGCTCCATGAGCTGTAACACTCCTAGATACCTCCCACCATCCCCCAGAGGAGGAGTGATTTATCTCATTGGTGAGCTTGGAAGAAACTGGGTATTTATAATCCAGCCTCTTCCTCTCTCTGTAGCAAATCTCCTCATAGGGAGCATGTGTTCTCAATTGATCTCAGGCATGCTATAAGCTTAATAGCAAAGACCTTTGCCCAATGAGAGACCTATTGTCTAGAACTGCTTGTGACTAGGTGGTAAGTCTGTCTATTTCTGGTATTCGCTGTCGGGAAGCCCATGCTCTCCAATGTCAGGTGTTTAATGATAATTAAACATTCTCTGACATTCTCTTCTCTGCCTTACTCTTGTCTATTTCCTAATTGGTTGAGAACTTGGGTGGGGAGAATAGGTATTATTTATCGAAGCTATGCAACTACTCCAATACAATCTACACCGATTAGTTCTGTCAAACCTCGTAACTATCATATGAGATAAGCATTTTTGTCATCCAATTTTCACAGATAAATGAGGACTAGCAATCAAGTAAGTGGCAGTCAAGGTCTGAACTAGGTCTGTCTGATGCCAAAGACCATGTCCTTAAATTTTCCCATTTTGTTTTTGCATAAAAGTTTAATATTAAATGATAAGAACATTCAAATTTTGGGTTGATGTTGAAAAGAGAGCTAACACAGTATTATATCTAGTATACTTATATTCTATTTGGCAGAAAAGTAAGCCAAGCTAAACTTAAATTCAGCAAATGCTGAATTTTATTTTAGGAAGAGCAAGCTGCAATCATAATAAAGAACTGTATTTACAGCTAACAGCAACACCCATGTTACTCTAAGGTCTTACACTACAATCTGAAACTACATTTCATGATTTACAAGGTCTGAGATGTAAACAGTAAAAGGAATGTTTTTGGAGATTTCTCATTAGCAACCGCAAAGCTAGCAATTTTGTGTGGAATTGTTTTGTCTGTCCTTTCTCAAAACATGTGCAAGACATCTCTTTGATGGTGAACCCATTCTGATTTGAACATCTGACTATTTTCAACATTCTGGGAACTCCTCCACACCCCACCTATCTCTGGGAAGGTTAGACTCCCTACCACCTTGGTGAAAAGAAGGGAATTTAGAACATTTGAGGTGGCAGACTGCCAACTTATGACACTTGAAGAGTGAGCTCTGCCTACCCCAGCTCCTTTATGCAAGTACATGAATGAGTTATAAAAAATTCACTAGTACTTCAATTTTTTATGCTGATGGCAGTTGTCCTAATAAGAGAAACAACAAAAGGGTGCAGTGGCCAAGAAGTTCTAGATTGGGGAGATTTAATGCATCCACTTACGTCTGTAACTCAACCCCTTCTCCATATGATCCTAGCTATTGTATTCCATAAGAATCCCCACCAAGACTCTACCAAGAAAACAATATATACAAAATACTCCCAAGCATATAATTACTTTTTTTTTACATAGATCTTCCTACATCTCCCACAAATATTGCCTGAACTGACATTTTCCCCTTTTTTTAATACAATGCTTGCCACTCCTCATTGTCTCTTTAACATTCTATCCAAAATTGCAACTGGAAAGGCAAAGACAATAGAAGGTGAAGGAATGTAATTTGTACTCCTTATAAACTTCATTATTTATCAAACATACTTTTTTTTATAACCACGTTTGTAGCCCTTCAACACATGTCTAACAGCCAGTGTTCACTCTTTTACAGGCCCGGTGAATAATGGAAAGCCTGGAGAATCCTGGCTTGGAAAAGGCAGTCAATAAGGTTAGTTTGACACTACTCTCTATTGGAGGAATTGTCTTTTCTTTGAAAGAGAATGTTGACTGATGGCAACCCAGAGGAGGCTCCAGAGAACAGATGTAGTCTGAAAACGTGAGTTTTAGTTTGCATGGGTATAGTACCTGGTTTACAAAAAGCCCTCACTGATATTCATATAACCTGGTGATGTAGGGAGGATTTTGCCTATTTTTTTAAATTGATACCTTGAGAGGTAAATGACTGACCCAAGAGCACGTAAGGTGTGATCAAGTCAGTTTCAAGTTAACTTTGAATCCAAACTCCCCTCAGTAACCTGATGGTGCAAAGGACTTCAAATTCCTAAATTTCCTACACTGCATGATGTAGAGAATTCAGGAGCATGACACTGACTTGCTTTGTCTTGCTGTGTAGAAGGATATCCAACCTGAGGTTGAGAAGTTCACATCAGAGTCTACAGGCCTTTTCTTCTGCCCGGTAGGCTTTAGTTGCCTACCTTCAATCTTTTCCTGCCAACAGCAACTCTTACCTCTCGAGTTTAAGCAGGCAGTTCTAAATAGTTGTTGGTGGTTACTGTGGTTAACAGACGCTTATGTTTCAGCTTCAAATCCCCCTTTTAATGAGGTAATTTTAGGAATATTTGTGATAAATTACCAGACCATAGACTTAACTGTGGGAAGTTTTGCTTCGGAAAATCTAATCAAAAGAAAGCAGAAAGAATGAACAGTGGATGCAATAGAGAAAATGGGACCAGATTTGGAGGGGCGAATGGAAGGGATGCCAGGTCTGACTACCAAAAGCCAAATCAGAATCAATTCAAACCAGAGCTTTAAATTATAAATGGTCCCTGAAGGGCTACCCGCCAGACTGAGCCAAGATTCCTCAGGAGGAAAGGTGGAGAGGGCAGGACTTGAGTATGTCCTACAGAAGGCTGTGTAGTTTAAAGAGCTTCCGTTTTCTATTTTATTGCTGACTGTGGTGGTTAAATGTCGGCAACAATCTTCCTTTTGTTTCTCCATTTCTCCATTTCTGAAACCAAAAGACACTATGACCTGGAGAGGACACAATTAACTAAAATGTGAAATTTGGCAGAAGTGAATTTCATAGCAATCTAGGTTATCCACAAATCCCAAAGACATAGCAGTCTTGATAATGCTGCAGGATTCTGTCATTAATCTATCTATTCTAACCACTAAAAATTTCGCAGAAAGATAAAAGAACTTTAATACATTGCTATGCTATTACATGGAAAGAAACATATCACAATTACCCAAAGGAAGACATGTCAATCATCCTTGTTATGTTTTAGTATAAAAGCATGCCTGGTCTATATAGGAGGGCTTAAGTTTATACCCGGTTGAAGGCAAGAGGATAGCCTAAAAGAGCTTTCACGGACACTTGAAGTTTCTGGCAGGGCTCCTTACGTCCCTACAGGAACGTCTTACTCTTGTTGCTCATGGAAAGCACCAAGGAACAGATGCATTACAGTTTGTGACAAGAGAACAGCCTGTGGATTCCGCCTACTCCCTCCAGTCCATCTGGGAGGTGGGTGAGACAGGGAGCCCACAGAGAGGGAGGCTCTCCTGGGAATCCCTCAAGTATCATGGCTATCAGTGCTTTATTTTCAGTAGATGGCACTGTGTCTATTGAGATAAGCAAAAGGAGAGTCTAGGTGGGAAATCTAATTGTTTCTAGAGAAAGCACACTGCCTGTGAGAATGCATGGTATTTTTTTGACTTAGTAACATGATAACAGAAATACTATTCAGTATTCACGTTAGCACCCTCTTTTGAGCTCAAGGAACTTTATGATTTATTATTCTGGCTCAGATGCAGTGCTACGGTGGAGCCCAAGGCCATTCTATGAGGGATATGGTTGGGATAAGAATAAATCACCCTGAATCTTCACCCACTTTATCACCCACACACATGCTTCAGCACCTGTACTCCATCTGTGCCCTGGATTTCCACCCTGTGCACCGGATCCCCCTTTACCAGACAGGGAACTCTGACATCTTGGTTCCTGCCCAGCAAACAAGAATCCTCACACCCTCAGAGTCAAGGCAACCAGAACAGTTCTTGCACACTGGTGATCCTGTGTGGTGGATACTGTTACTTGCTCATCCACCCTTTTTCCTTTCTAATGGACATCCAATTTTGCTTTCAGGAAAGTAGACCCCAGCACCAGAAAACTAACCAAGTTTATTTTAAGTTGATCGTGGTCTTTTAAATGAGAGAAGAACCTCAAGTTTGCTTCTTAGAAAATGAACTCTAAGCATGGTATGGAGGATGGGGTAGATGAAAGGCAGCTCTGCAAGCCAAGCACTGTGCTATGCACTTAATAGAATACTCTCTTTTATTCCTTACAATAATCTTGAGATAGGTACTATGCTACCCATTTTACAGAGGAGAAAATTGAAGCTCAGAAAGTTTAAATAACCTACCTAAAATCACCCTTTCTATTGACAGAACATATGATGAGATTCTCACCATTAGAAGAGAAATCTGTTATGGGACTTCTTGGAAAGGGACATGCAAGGAGAAACCTCCCATTTCTGTCCTTTGACATTACCTTCTGAATATGACCCCTGAGACTGCAGCAGTCATCTTGAGACAATTGTAAGAGCCAACCTAAGAGAATAAGACAAAAGTCTGAGGATGACAGAGCAGAACGATGGAAAGGATCTGGGACCTTGATGATGCTGTTGAGCAGCTCAATTAACCAACCTTCAAACTTCAGATTTATGTTTCAGCCACTTTGAAATAGATCTTCTGTTACTTGTAGCCCAAAATATCCTAACTAATACAACCTAAAACCCTAGACATAGATGATTAGAAAAAGAATTAGTGCCTGAGCGGAATGCAGCTACCCATATGGTGACTGCCAAGAGAGTCAGGATACGAGAGTTCACTCATCAGGGCCTCTATATTGGATCATGCCTAATGAGACCAATCAGCTCCTTTCCGGTGGAGTCTGAATAAGATAACATTTTCTCCCGTGTCCTCAGGAACCCTCATCAATTAACCCA